GAAGTCATCACAAGAACCGACGATTTGCAACTTGCTGATAAGGTAAACATTTACAATAATAAATTAGACAATCTATGTACTGAACGCAATTGGGGATTTATTACACATAAAAGTATCACTAAGACTCATTTAAATAGCTATGGTTTGCACTTAAACCAAAGAGGAACAACTGCACTGGCAAGAAACATAAAACAGTTTTAAAAAATCAATCTTTAAATTTAAATCAAGCCGCGGTCAAGAATACTGATAGTAATAAGCATACTGATCGATTAAAGGGATTCAAGATCGCTCATTTAAATGTACGAAGCTTAATCATGCATATCGATGAACTAAGGCTGTATCTTTATAAACAACAATTTGAAATAATTAGCGTTAACGAAACCATGCTTGACCTGTCTGTCTCAAATCAAGAGATCAAAATTAATGGTTATGATATTGTGAGAAAAGACAGGAATAGGCATGGTGGTGGAGTCGCAATATACATAAGAACCTCAATAAACTTCATAATAAGAGACGATTTAACTGACGATAATCTCGAAACAATTACACTTGAAATTTCAAAACCAAAATCCAAACCATTCTTAATTAATAGTTGGTATAAACCACCCAATACAACACTTGAAATATTCAATGCATTCAAGGATTTAATTACTCGAATGGACTCTGAAAACAAGGAAATAATTTTACTTGGAGATTATAACTGCGATTGGTCTCGCTTGGATAGTAACAGCGCTAACGCTCAGACAAACAAGCTTGCTGGAATTGCACAGACATTCCAATTTCAACAATTAATTAGTGAGCCAACGCGAATTACAGCTAATAGTAAAACCTTAATAGATCTAGCATTCACCAATAAACCGGAATTGATAAATGGCTCGGGTGTCATTCATCTGGGGATAAGTGATCACAGCTTAATCTATATACAGAGAAAAATTTCCGTTCCCCGTAAAGAGCCAAAAGTGATTAAATCAAGAAATTTCAAACACTACAACTCAAACAACTTTAAATCAGACCTTTCCACATACTTATATGATCAAGTATTCTGTGATACAATGCTTGATCCAAATATTATGTGGGAAAATTGGAAAACAATATTTCTGTCGGTTGCAGATTTTCATGCACCAGAAAGAACAAAAAAAGTTAGAAGCGAGTACGCGCCATGGATTACAGAAAATATTAAACAAACTATGCGTCGAAGAGACTTTTTAAAGAAAAAAGCAGTTAAGACAGGATCAAAACATTTCCATGATGCTTATAAACGCACACGAAATGATTTGAATAGATTAATTAAGAATACAAAAGCAATTTACTTTACAAATACTTTAAATGACTGTGATAACAACCCAAAGAAAATGTGGAAAACAATTAATAAACTTACAAACAAACAGTCAAAAACAACTGTTATATCTGAAATCCAGAACGATAATCAAAATTTGACTAAAAAACATGAAATTGCAGATGCTTTAAATTCACATTTCAACGAAGTTGCATCTCGTTTGGTTAATAACATGCCACAGAGCTCAAGGACATTTGAGTCATACGTGACTAGGTCCGATACACAATTTACGATACAAAATGTTTCATTAACTAAGGTATATAAGTTGCTCTCTACAATTAAAACATCCAAATCAGCAGGGCATGATAGAATACCCGGTAAACTTCTAAGAGACGCTGCTGAAGTAATAGCACCATCCCTGTCAGCAATCTTTAACGCATCTATAAACACTGGTATATTTCCTGAAGACTTCAAGATTGCTATCATTTCTCCAATTCATAAGGCTGGAAGCAAAACTAATTGCGATAATTATAGACCAATCTCGGTTCTATCCTCAGTTGCTAAAATATATGAGAAATTAGTTACAGAGCAACTAGAAATTTATCTTGAAACTAATCACATTCTTGCAGAACAACAAGCAGGATTTAGGAAAAATCACTCTACACAAACTTCTCTACTTAACATCACGAACCAATGGCTAATGAATATGGATAAGGGTTTGTTAAATGGAGTGATTTTTTTGGATCTCAAGAAAGCGTTTGACTGTGTTGATCATAATATATTGTTAAAAAAAATGCATTGTTATGGAATAAGAGGTCATACGCTTGCTTGGTTCCAGTCCTATCTTTCTAGCAGGATTCAAATATGTAAGGTAGATCAAACAATGTCCAAGACAAGAACAGTTAAATGTGGAATACCCCAAGGTTCTAATCTTGGGCCACTTCTTTTCTTATTATATATAAACGACCTGCCAAACTGCCTGACCTCATCTTCAGCAAGCATGTTTGCCGATGACACAAATGTTTCAACCAATGGCAAAACAAATGACGAACTACAAGAACGCATTAACGTGGACTTAGAAAATATACACCAATGGTTACTTGCAAACAAACTTACACTTAACAAAGATAAAACTGAATACATGATTATTGGTTCAAGACAACGAATTTCAAACTTAGTACTAACGGACCCTAAAATTGAGCTTGGTGAATCAGTCATTAAACGGGTTCACAAATCAAAAACTTTAGGCGTAATTATTGATGAACATCTTTTATGGAATCATCAAATCCAAAATATTGTCACAAAAGCTTCAAAAGGAATAGGAATGATGCGACGAATAAAACAGTTTGTTCCCAAATCAACCTTAGTAAAAATATATAATGCCATTGTGCTATCACATTTTGATTATTGTAGCTTGGTTTGGGATAACTGTTGTGATTACTTAAAAAACAGACTTCAGAAATTACAAAACAGAGCGGCCCAAATCATCACTGGTAAAACTTATGAAGTTAGTTCTGAGGATGTTTTAAAAGAATTAGGCTGGCAACCTTTAAACCAACGCTATAAAACCAATAAATCGATTTTTATGCACAGAATACGAAACGAAAAAATGCCATCATCAATTTGCAACATGTTCAAAATTAAAATAAATGACAGATATGATTTAAGAAGTAACAATAACAACTATGATCTTGGAAACCCTGAAACAAATTTTATGAAAAAGAGCTTCAGTTATTCAGCTGCATCCCTTT